TATATATATATATATATATATATACATACATACATACATATATATATATATATATATATTGTGATGTGAGAATCACTCAATATAATGATCACATATAATTACAATGTCACTCAATAGAGCCCAGACCGATGACCAATTTCCTTGTTTATAAGTGGGTAGTACCGTTACGAGTGTTGACGCGGATGCTTCAATGTTTCGATTTCATTCATCCCACGAGGGAAATTAGATGTTGCCACCAAACAGTGAAAACTAAATTCCTATGTTTGCACCTTTATCCTGTTCCTCACCAAAATTTAAAGTTTTTTTTTTCTTGACCAATGCACCAACCCACTACATGTAATTTAGTTTTTTTGTTAGTATATAATGTAGTCATCCAAATCATTCAGTATTCAGTGAAAAAAAAATCAAGTCCTGAGTACTTGATGAGTAAACTTCCAATTCATTTTTTATAATAGACAAAAATATAAAATCGGAATGTACACATTCGAATCTCGCCAAACAATATCACTTTCAAACAATATTTTTTTTAAAATAAAATGACAAACCAAGGGAAATTGGGCCACACTTAACGGTCTTTAATGAACTTTCTGGTTTTACACGTGAAACAGCAAAATAGGCTTTCAATTTTATTGAACTTTGAACCTTTGGATTCACCCACATTTATCGACAATGCTGATATCTTTTGAATTACTCCAAAACAGTTTGAGTTCTACCAACTCAAGTTTTGTTTCTCAAGTTCCATGTGGAATTTTTTTAGTTCCTGAAATGCCATCATTTGGACATGACATAGCTGTAGTTCAATCCATCCGTTTCTTCACTCAGGTTGAGGTTGAGCGTGAGCCAATCTGAGAGGCAAATATAGATTTTGCCATGTTTCATGTAAGTGAGTCTGTCATGTGACCACCTCGCTCAGTTTGAACGGTCAAATGGAGTCAGCATCAGCAGTTGTTTCAAGGTATGTTGGAATGGTGAAACATAGTCATGGGAAACAAGTCTAGGACAAACCAAAATAGACGCAATAATAAATACCTGTAGATATACACACAAACTGTGAGCGGGAAGTGACATTTCGTCTTACCAAAAATACTCAAAGAAAAGTAAAACGTGTTTTTCATTAAACTCGTTACTACCCACCTCTGCTGCTAACTGTTCGTGTACTAAGTACTATTTATTTACTGTTTAAAATGATGAATCAATCCAAGACGACATTTTTGAGTACCTCCTTTTTTTTGTTCACTCTGTTGGTGTAACAGCAGGCGGGTGGTAAGATGATGTCACATGTAATGTCACAAACAAGTGCCGTATGTACATTCATTGTGGTTCTAGTCTCTGACATTTGCTTGAACGGTCAATGCGATGCTATTGGAAACACGCCATCATCTCTCCTTCTCATACACAAACTCACAAGAAACACATTACGCTATGTACAGTCTTGGTGTTTTTGTATCGGTGTTGATGAGTTGAAGTGAACTCGGTGTGATTTTAAAGGGAAAAAGGGGGCTAAAGGCGACCAAGCCTCACCCCTTATTGTATGTTTATTCAGTATACGCTGTCTTGCTAAAACCAGTGGGTTGAGACGGTGATCCCCCACAAAGTTGAATTAACTTTTGATACGTATGTGTAGAGGTGCAAATAATCGGTGAATAAATTAGATATAAAATCAATCCATTATTATTTTTGACAATCGGTTAATACTTTGTAGACTTTTTAAATTCTTCTTTTAAAATTTTTAAATTTTAAATTCTCAGAATTTCATCCTCTCCACACTAAATATTCTCAGACTGATTATATTTGTGGTCAATTAAAGCAAAACATTTCCAATAATCTGCTTTTACTTTGGAATACAACAAAAAACATGTAAGCCTACTTTCTGACATGTTTTTCGACCAAACCAGTAACTGACTCAAAAGGAATTTGTTCGTGTGTTTTCAGCATCACCAATTTGAAACGATGTACTGTTTTTGAAAGTGAAAAGGATGGAAATGAAAACGTCTTTTCAATCCGATTCCTTGATTAATCGGCAAACTAATTGACAGATTAATCGATTATTAAAAGAATCCTTAGTTGCAGCCCTACTTCTGAGACAACTAAACATGTTTAAAAAAAAAAGAGAGAGCCTTGAGGCGCAATTGCAATGCAACTCACATCCATGACACCCGATTTATTTGTTTTGGTCTCATTTGAACACATGTCCAACCATCCTGAATGTTAAAATTACACAGAAAGATTGCTTGGCGACAGTTTGATTTATGAGAATTTCTACGATGGGAAAAATGGTGTCGAATTCCTAACAGCTGACCGGAGTTTCTGTATGTAGTTAAACCGGGGACTTCCCATATGTCACACTCATAACTTTGTAAGAAGAGATAATTTGTGCATTTTGACATTTTAAAACTCCAAAATGATTTTCAAAATGCTGAATTAAAAAAAAAAAATACAGATGCAAATTCGACTTTGGGGGGGAAAACCTCTAAACTCACTGATCGTGGCAAACACCGCTGACGTGACGTGCTGAGCTAACGATGACGAGGATAGAGTAAAACACACTTGTATGTGCAGTACATATGATCTAATCTTACATTTGTGAGATATATATATATATACACACACACACACACACACACACACACACACACACACACACACACACACACACACACACACACACACAAATACTATATGTGTCTCGTAGAATTGGACATACTTTCCCTCTCAACTTTTGACAGTTGGGACACACGCAAGCCCGGAGCCGCCGTTCATCATCAGGCTTCATGTTTCGCGGGCGGTGAATTAAACCCTTCCCGAAATAGCGCGATACATTTTAGAAAGGGAGGCTTGCAGTTTTAGCTTTGGTACATTAAAAAAAAACTGCGGTGGTCTGCCTGTTAGTCCCTGAGGGGATGTACAGTAATTGGACCACTCGAATATTAACTTTCAACTTGAAAGTTGCTCGGAAAGGTACATTTAGAAGGATGCAAAAATCCCGACATGTTTGGCCCCATTCTGGACGCCCCGCTGCCATCCAGCCCTGAACAAAAGGGGTCAATAATGGATGAAGCCGCTTCGCTCTCTGAATTTGCTGAATTATTCATGGCGTTTTTTTAACGCCGGTTGTTCTGAGCGGGCCTCGTACGGCAACTTCCTGTTGTCGTCTTTGCATCGCTTCCTTTGCAGTTGTTTCAATGTATGGCAGGCGTTTGGCTTGTGTTGGCAGTTGACTGGAAGGATCACTGGGAGAGTTCCAGACCTGTTTAGAGCTGCCTGTACAGTATACTGTGTGTGTGTGTGTGTGTGTGTGTGTGTGTGTGTGTGTGTGTGTGTGTGTGTGTGTGTGTGTTTCTTTTTTAATCATGATTGTGTTGTTAGTCAACTCTGGATGTGTACACACGCATGTTCTAGTCCTGACTGCGGTTGCGCTTCTTGAAAAAAAAGAAGGGTGTCTTCTGGGGTGGACCCAGCAGCATAGGAACCTGGTTCTTGTGGGTGATCCTGATCTGTAACAAACAAACCACAAAGTCAAGACCGTATTGAGGTCACATGTGTTCAAGTCTTTTGTGCTGCAAAAGATAGCTTGGGAACACACCAACATACCTTTTTTGGTCAAGGAAAAGCTACAAATGTGTATTTCAACCAAAAGTAATGTACTTTCCGCACTATAAGGCGCACCTAAAATCATTCAATTTCCCAAAAATTGACAGTGTACTTTATAATCCAACGCGCCTTATATATGATGTTTCAGTCTCTTTATATTCCCCATGGAGTCGTTTCCCTGTCAGTGTTCCGATGTCATCCAGTGATTATTAGCAGGAGCCAATTGTAACCCAAAAGTGTTTTGCCCGACACTAATTGACATGTGCATTAGCCACTCAGACAGACAACAACTTTGTGAGCTCTGCGTAGCCATAATGAAAATAAGCATAGTTAACTACTGACTAAATGAAGGAAGAAGGAGACAAGCAAGACTTCTTAGGATATTTAGCCCCTAGTAGATGTGAGCCCACGAGGAGTGACAAGTTCTGCATGGCTTTGCTCTCTATAAATAAAGCTGTATTGTATTGTATTCCCTTTAGCTCCATACAGTGGATGCAACTGCAGCCATTATTGTAGCTTCTATTCGATGCGCCTTATAATGCAGTGCACCATGTATATGAAAACAGTTTTAAAATAGGCCATTCATTGAAGGTGCGCCTTATAATCTGAAGCACCTTAGAGTGCAGAAAATTAGAGGTGTCAAATGATTGCGTTAATTGCGAATACTTAATTACAGTCATATTTAGCGCATTGTTTTTTAATCGTGTTAATCTCAATTTTAATCTCTAACTTTATTGTTTTTGTCTGTGGGTTGCCTTTTTCTAATAGCCCTTTTAATGTGTTGGCTTCCTGTGTTCAAGTAGTTGAGGGTGGGGAAACAACTGTCAGTCACAGTCTGAAGCGGACATTCATTGGCTGTCATTATGTTTGGGCTTGTTTAGCATAAGCTGATTGGCTCACCCAGTCAGATTGCAGATCAGATTAAAAACTGAAGTGGAATGCAGTTGTCATCGAACCTCAACTACATTTTCTGAAGTGAGTTCTCATAAAGCAGTCTCAGAGGGATGGGAGGGCTCAAAACTGTACTCCTATTTCTGGTGTTGCGATCAAGTGCGTGTTGTTTGAAAAAAAAAAAAAATTCTCAGCACACACAAAATACAACAAAATGATGTAGCTCTTCCGCTCCCGTGAAGAACTGCTGTGGTAAAATAAAATGCTTGACTGCGTGAGGATTCCAGAAAATAGCTGACGTTCTTCTTTTTTCGTTTAATGCAAACAGCAGTCGGGCTTGCCTGCGCTCTCGGACGGCGTGACTGCATTCGATGTGAAAGTCTGGGGATGTGCGGAGAAATGTGCCAACAAGCTCAAGAGAAAGCAAATGAGTCGAGGCTAAAATATGCCAACAAAAAAAAAATCTACATAAAATCAAGGATGAGAGATGGCCCAGGATGATTTATGACTTTCGTTATCCATCCAGACAAGCCACGTACACTAAAATAAAATTTTGAGACTGTGTTCAAGGTCTTTGATGATTAAATGAATTCCCGATGCAATTCAATAGAAAAAAAAATAACAAAATAAAAATAAAAACATTGACAAGAACATCTGGATTTTATTTGATGTTCATTGGAGGCACTTTGAATGGTGGAAGGCGCCAGCTGCCTCACATTTAACAGGAATTGGAATTTGAATGGTTAATTCTGAACACAGCCGCATCCCCGGTTGGGCGTGCACACTTATGCAACCACAGTATGTCAATTGTTTATTTTTACTTCCCCTCTCCAAAAACACTTTTTTTTTCAACTGAGTCATGGAAGATATACAGTTCCTAGCTCAATTTTGTAAGGGCAAAAGTTTAACATCTTTGTCTCGTTTTTTTTTTTTTTTTTTTTAAATCATCCAAACCTGGGATGTGAACCAGGATGCAAAAAAAAAAAATAATGTGATTGGGAAATCCCTAACAGAAAAGAAAAGAAATATCATGTACAAAGTACACCGATGTGCTCGTCATCACAGCGTTTGTTCTTTCGAAATCTGCCTCAAGTAGAAGTCCAATTCTGCCTCTTGAGGTGCAACGTAGTGTTAATTATTGCCATAGACACACCGTGTCTGCTCAGAATGTTCCAGTCTGTACCCAACTGCTAACAAAACTTCGTGGAATCGTGGCTCAAGTTCTTTGTACTGTTACCGGAGTCACAAGGTGAGCAATTATACTCCGAAAGCGACAACCCTGTACATTTTTGTCAACACCGTGTTGACTTAGTTCTCATTCAGTACAACTCAGCATGGTTAGTCGTGTACTCATTCTCTAGGAGTGTCAACTTTGCAGGCCTACTTTTGCTTTTGTCCGGCACAAGCCAGCACTGTTTACCCCATTAGCTGCCATTGCAAGCGTTCTACAGGCCGGGAAGCAGCCCAATATCACGTCAAAAGTGGTTGCTCTCACCGTGCATGGTGGCTGCATCCAGGGCTCGCCATCAATCTGCATGGGCAGCCTACGGGATGTCCTGTACAGATGAAGATAGAGAATTGATTGGATAAATTTGAAAACTTTTCCCCAAATCATTACACACACACACACACACACACACACACACACACACACACACACACACACACACACACACACACACACACACACACACGTATATACCATGCATATCCTAAATTTGAAGACTTTCATGCAATGGCCACTGCGACTAGCTGCTGACCAGTTCAGGGTGTACCCTGGCCGAAGGCAACTGTCATTTGGCTCCATCTCACCCACGAGCGCTACAGAAAACGGAGGCATGCATGGATTCAATGTCCCTTCATGCACATCAAAGGATCAGTATTATGATGTATGTGCCGTTAATCCAACACCAAGAAGGACTGGTTCACTGTGGGGCTGAACAAATGTGACAAGAAAAATCGTAAAGATGATAAAATGGGTTACAACCAGAAGTGTTCTACGGCACAAATTTCCCAAAATTCAGTCAGGTTCATATTGAGGACCTGCAGAAACATTTGTCCACAAGGAACTTTAACCTTTTCATGCACCCCGTAACCTGATAACTTGATAAGCTGTCCACTGTAGTAACTGCTGTCCCTGAAAGGGTTAAGTTGCACATCTGGTTCTTTCGTTACTCTCCTGTCACCAAATGTCTTCACTCTTGATGTTGATGGTTATTATCTAAAACCGTCGAGAGTAATATTCGACAATTTTTGAGCTGGTCTGACTTGTGGAGGAACAAGAATACAAGATGAGTTGTCACGGTAATTTCAACATGAGCTATTCAAATAACAGTCATGAGTGTGTTCACAGACCCGCAGCGAAGATGATCCAAGGCTGCTCTTACGTCTACTCTGGTTGTACTCAGGACATTCCATTGTCGAGGGGCCTTGACATGTTTGCAACACAATTCCACAGGATTTCTTCAGATAAAATAGCAATATGATGTTTCCTTACAATAAGATGTTCTATGCATCCCCGTTAGTCTTAACACGCTATTTTGATTCACGTTGCGTTTATGGAACACAAATTCAGCAGTAAAATCCAGCCGTTATTGTCATCTTGCGAACATCACATTACAAAACTCAGAAAACAAAGGAGTCATGATTGCCATAAGCAACTGTGAGGTCATTTTCAGTCGGCAGCAAGTAGCAAAATGGCCGCCCCTCGATGGGACAAAAATGGGTATGCCATGTTTTGACTAACGGGGGCGCATGGAACAAATTATTGTGAAGAACATTTTGGGGTTGACTTCCCCTTTAACATTTATTTTTGGAGGGTTACTGACAATGCTACATTTTCCCTGATCGACTGTAATGTCATTATTTGCGCAATCTTTCAATGACATCATTGATTGGATCGGCGAAATAACAGATTACAGCAAATGCAACTTTGTTGACTCCGGGGTATAAGGTGCACCTTCAATGAATGGCCTATTTTAAAACTGTTTTCATATATATCGGGCACACTAAATGAAAGGCGAATAGAATAGAAGTGTGGATGGGGTTGAGTTATGCATCCACTAGATTGAGCTACGCTAAAGGGAATACAATACAATACAACTTTATTTATATCACGCTTTCACAACCGCTGCAGCTGTAACAAAATGCTTTAGAGACCATTTAAAATACTACCTCCAAGAAATCAAAATCTTGATCCATATATAAGGCGCATCGGATTATAAGGTGCACTGTCGGCTTTTGAGAAAATGGAATGCCTTATAATGTGGAAAATACGGTACGTAAACTTTTGGCCACGCACATTTAGCCAACCACAGATGTGACCAGCAGGCAGGCGTGTTTGAACAAACACGAAAATAGCTCCGTTGTTGACAAGATGCACTAAACATTTACTAAACACGGATACGTGATATACTGCAGTCATACTGAACGTGAGTTTAGCTATTTTCACGACACGATTACAAATCAAGTCCATATAGTTTGCGTGGATCGGGCTGAATCTTTACAGCTACACTGGGGACAAACATCTTGGAGAATGTGCTTTTCCGTCACATACAGGACACACACAGGCCAGGTAAAAAATGGACAAATAATGTCGGACAAAACAATCCACAGTCTAAGGGCACAGGGACTCATACAACAAAGCCAATCCAAGCTAAAAAGGAGCAGGTGTAGGCTACTTGGCAAAGCTGTCCCATTAATGTCAAAGAAGGTGGTGTTGCCAACCTACAAATACAACATTTTATATTTCATGTTATCAGAGCTTTTTTGATGAATAATTGGGGGTTTCAATAATGGCTTTTTTAATGCATTTTCGCAATGGCGGTGGTCGCCTCTAGAGTAAATATGCAAGTTGTCTAGAAAAATCGCTCCATCTTATGATTGAATCGGCACGTAAGTATCTTTTTTTTTTCTTTTTCAAACCCTTTGACTGCTGATCGACGCCAAAATCCCCTATCGGGGTAAGAGGAAGCTAAACTGTATATAAACTTACTTCCAGCAAAAGGCAGGGTACACCATTTATACTCACATTCACAGACAATTTAGTCTTCAATGAACCCAACATGCATGTTAGTGGAAGGCGGGAGGAAGCCAGGGTAGCGGGCGAACAAGCAAAGGTCACTCAAGGAAGTTCTGAGCCAAGATTCGAACTCAGAACCTCTCGACTGTGAGAAAGACATGAAAACCCCTAGTCCATCATGCAGACACTGATCGACTTGTGAAGATTTTTTTTTTCCTGTTTCGGTAAATGAGATATTTTATCAACATGGTGGTTTTCTGGGGGCAGTCATGTAAAGCCAGATGAGACCAAATGTCTTCAGCAACTCCCTTAGCGGATATCTACAATTTATCATATGCAGATGTGCCATCGTTTGGAAACCCTCCAATGTGAAAAAGAATGATCAACATGGTACAGAATTACAATTTTGATCAGGATCATTCCGGTTGTGGGTTAAGGATGGGCACGGGTGGGGCTGGGGAGGAGACATGAGACAGTTGAAGTGGGATGGAGGAGAAATGGGTCAACCCCGATATAGGAAATGAGAGGTAGTTAGCGACCTGATGATGACGTTGGCGCACTGGGCAAGGCGGCGCCCGGCGCTCTTCAGCCCCGTGTAGATTTGACCCATCTCGATGGCGCCCTCCAGGCCCACCACCTCCAGCAGCTGGTCGCTAAAGTCTGCACATACGACACATGCTAACACTTAGCTCACTTGCTTTGCACAGATGTAAGGCAAGAACCGGGTTGATTTGGAATCATTAAAACATTATTCACAAGTGTTGTATTTTTTGAAAAAATTCTTTTTCAAACTTTGAAGGTTTGGTCATATATCAGAGCAATAATCTAGTGTATTTGAAAAGACATCAAAAAGTTTGTTCATATTTTTTAAACAACTTTCTTCAAACTTTGGGTGACATTTTTTCTTTTCGCAGCAAAACCCAGACTGCTTCTGAGTGATAGCCAGTGCACATTATTTGACATTACTTTTGACTTCAAAGGCTAGAGCCGCTAGACCGATCTTGGGTACTTTGGTTTCGAAGTGATTTTATTCAAACTCTGAGAGACTAGTTCAAAGTAAGAATCCTACTGATTTTGATTGATATTCACCCAGTGATGTGAATCCCTCCATCCATTTTCCGATCCGCTTATCCTCACAAGGGTCGCGGGGCGTGCTGGAGCCTATCCCAGCTTTTCTTTGGGCAGTAGGCGGGGTACACCCTCAACTGGTTGCCAGCCAATCGCAGGGCACAGAGAGAACTATCCACGCTCACGCTCACACCTAGGGACAATTCAAAGTGTTCTATTAACCTGCCAAGCATGTTTTTGGAATGTGGGAGGAAACCGGAGTACCCGCAGAAAACCTACACAGGCACGGGGAGAACATGCAAACTACACATAGGAAGGCCGGAACCGGAATCTAACCCTGCATCTCTACACTGTGAGGCTGACCCGCGAACCAGTTGAAAACCGGGATGCCAGGAGAATGGTATGCAAAAAAAATATTTTCTTCAGGTGATATTTTTGTTATTTCATTGCAATCTTTTTGAAGGGTATTCATTGTGGAATTGTCAAGAATATTTTTATTCGATCAAATTTCTGTTTGTAGGGTCCGATTCTGTCCGGAACCTTCTGGACACCCGACAGTAATACTGTCTGTGTTTTGGTTTAAAATTTTCATTTTCATCAAACTCTAAAATTGAGTTCAGAGCAAAAACCCCATTCAATTTGACTGACATCCAATGCAAGCCTAGGCAGAACATATAAAGTACAAACTAAATTTGAAGCCTGAAACTCAGAATTGTGAGGCGGTCTTTCTTTCTGTTGGTCTGCTATTCAGTGGTCCTGTAGTCTACTACAACTCTGACATACCGTATTTAGGGCCCACAACACATATTCAGTTTTTTGCAAATAATTTATGACATGAATTATGAATGATACAACTATTTCATTTGTACAGCCGGTGTGCTAATTTGTGAGCTGCGACAGCACAACCAACTCTCAGTGACAAATTTATGACTTATTTCACTTTTTCGCATTAACTGTGCACACATGCAAAAAAGCCTTCTGTGCTTGCTGGGGTGCAGGCCAAAGCGAATAAAAGCCATGTATTTTGTGGTGGGAGCATGGCCTGAGGGTCGGCGCCCAGACACGTCCAGACTGGCAGCCTGCTGTGACTGCAGTGCAAACAACGTCAATAATTCCCCAACGTGGTTCGAGCTCACTCATCCTGTCGCTGCCTTTGTGCGTCTAAATGCAAACAGGACACTGTTGCGTGTCTCATTCAGTGCTGTACTGTAAATATTTATCTTTTTTTAAGTCAATAGTTTACAAATCTATCCCTCAAACTCACTTTTTTATTGTAAATTATTTAACGGAAGGAGGTCAATGCCATGCAATAATACACAGAGTAGATTGTTAAATTACTTTATCGTGATTTGTTATTATTATGATTAAAAAAGGTGGAATTTGGTGGATCTGGTGTGTGTTGTTTTTGCTCATTGCCAAAACTTTTTGTTAATAAGCAGCTAATGTCTAACTTCTTGTTTTTGTGCACTGGAGGTTCTATAAGCTGAGTCAGCACTGCAGGCCAAGAGAAACAATGCATCAAATTGTGTTTTCATTTCGTCTGACTCATTGTTGACACAGTTAAGTGTAAAATAACTAAAATCCAGCAAAGAGGCACAAAATTGACCTTTACAATTTAAACGCTCCATAGCAAAGTGAACAGGGAAATGGTGCACAACAAATTAAGATTGAAACTAACACAGCTAGCGTTCATTGCTAATGCATCGTTGAAAGATGGAGACAAAGATCCTTTGGAGCAACACTTTATATTTACTATCAGAATCGTTCAATAAATAAACACACACACAATAGGTTGCTACAGAGCTAGCCTTGTTAGATTAGCTCGCTAAACGCTCTGTTACGTTGCCTTAACGCTCTGTCACGTTGCCTTAATGTTAGGATTTTGCTGAACGAGCAAACAACAATATGCACTTTTTTAAAAAAGAAATAAGAATCCAAGTGTAGCTACACTTGACTTACAAATTTAATTTGTTCTGTGACCTAGCTTGTATCTCAACAAATCAAATCAATTGTCCCCCTTTAAATGAACTGAAATTCCGTTAATCCATTTCAGGCCACGAAACCAGCAAAAATCTTTTATGTGTTTTTATGAAAGAACAATAGCACTATATTGTTTAAAAACATAATAAAATGAAATAAAAGAGAATGTCAGTAAACTGGTTTAATTGCTGTCAATTGGGAAGAGATGAAAGTCACTGCTCACGAGTGAGTGTTTTATTTGTGTGTTTGACTATTTGTCCTGTTCAACCAGGGAGCATGAACGATCACGACAAAACAAATTCGGAGGCGTTTGGGAATTGTTTTGATTTTGCAGCGACAAGAATGACGAATGCAAGCAAGGATCGACACCCAAATTGAAATCGTAATTTGAAATCCCAACCCTCCCTTGAAAATTGGTGAATTTTAAATTGTTCCAGAATAATGAGGCTATAGACATTCTTACAAAACTTTTTTCCCCACCTTTGGTATAAGACATTCATTCAACTCAAGTACAGAGCACAATGACTTTTGTCACCTCATCTGAGTGTATTGCGTGAGGAATTTCAGTGCACAAAACAAAACAACAAACAAATGCAAGATTTGGCTGCTGTGTTTGAGATGTTAAACACCATTCATAGATGATATCATTGTTTGTTCATGTAGTGTTTAATATAGTCCCCCCCCCCCCACCTTGCTTCTTGAGTGCACGCCTACATGCGCTTGCACTCCTCCGCTTCCTACCAGCGCCAAACATGGGCACATCAACCTGCCCTTGCCCCGCTGCGTTGAGGCACGATGGCGGAGTAGCCCCACTGTGCTCTGTGTTCTCACATCGGCTGCGCTTTGGAAGCGACCATCAAACGGCATCAGCGAGGTAGGGCTAAGAATAGATGAGAACAGCCTCTTACATAATGCCAGCATGCAGCAATGCATCCTGGGATGGGATGGCATTTGCTTTGCCAAGTCACTGAAAATTGGCGGCTCTTTGTTTTGTCTCATTGCAGCCTGATGCCAGTGAATCATTCTTGACATGAAACATATACTGTAAGACATACAAGTAGATTGTAGATTGCCTGACATTTCTTTGCACTTTTCAGGGGTTAAACCAGGGCTCAGCAACCCAAAATGTTGAAAGAGCCATATTGGACCAAAAAAACAAATATGTCTGGAGCCGCAAAAAATTAAAAGCCTTATAATGAAGGAAACACATGCTGTATGTAGCGATATTAGCCTCGAATCAAAATGACTAAGTTGGCTACAAATACACAATGAGCCTTCATGATTAAATGTTTTTTTTCCCCTGCAGTGCATCCTGTAGTGCAGGGGTGCCCAACCTTTTTTGACCAAAGATCTACTTTTCGATCAACCAGCCTCCCGAGATCGACCCGTTACCGCACGCACTCATACGCACCCACTTACACACGCATGCCGAGGCATGGGACGCACTTTTGCAGCGTGTTAACTATCATTGCTCACGTGTACCGTTTAAAAATGCTCCTCTCTGCCCTCCAGATTCCTATTCTCTGCCAGTACCCTCGTTGAATTGTACATGAAATGCCGTTTTTTAAAAGAATAACAGCCACCTGCCTGGTATCCCACCCTGCTAATGGAAACGTGTCGCAGGCTGTGACGCAAATCTTCGTTGACAGAAATGTTGAAATTTAATATTTATTCTACATATTTTTACAGCATTGGAAAACATTAAGAATGTTTGTGTCATGTTTGTCCGCCTACAGCAGGGGTGTCAAACTCATTTCACATTGTGGGCCACATACGGACTCGGTAGATGTCAAGTGGGCCGAACCATTAACATTATACCATACTGTGCTAAATATTCATTCTGTGTCTTTAATGCATTTTTTTTCACTTTTAAATGATCCCGCGGGCCGGATCGAACCTCCTTGGGGGCCGGTTCCAGCCCGCGGGCCGTATGTTTGACAGTACATGGCCTACAGAAACCATATTAAAATATATTTCCCTCTCCCATCTTTTTCCATTTTCAAACATTTTTGAAAAAGCTCCAGGGAGCCACTAGGGCGGCGCTAAAGAGCCGCATGCGGCTCCAGAGCCACAGGTTGCCGACCCCCCAGGTTAAACCGAAGGAAAAATCAGCATTTTGTTAGAATGTCTGATCTCATGATACTGAAACACTTTAGAATTCAGTTATTATTGTGAACAATTTTCAAGTAAGGGGAAGGATTTCAAACATGGGTTCAGGTTTTAAATTAGGCTTTCAACCAATGGTTAAGAGTTCAATTTAGAGTTTTAAGCTCAGGTACGGATTGAAAACAAAGGTGAAGGTTTCAAATTAGGGTTTCAAGACTGTTTTATGGTTTTACACAAGGGTTATGGTTTTAAGGTGGAGTTGGGGTTTAAAATCAAGCAAGCCTTATAGGGTATAAAAATATAAGACAGAAAACCTTTATTTGTCTCACACTGGGGAAATTTGCAATCTACAGCAGCAGAATTTGAGGGGGGGGGGTAAAAAGAAAAACAAAGTATTGCATGCACAAAATAAGTGTTTCAGGAAAAAAAAAAGATTTTAAATGAGGGTTTCAAGACGAACCATTATGTAGAGCAATTTAGAGTCAGATTTCAGTTTTGGAGTATGG